CTCTCTCTCTGCCATCCCTAGCCAGGATCTTGGTAAACACTAGCTAATAAGGAACCTACTATCTTCAGGGAAATCCACACATATTAAGAATTATCATGCCAGCCAGCCCTCACTAAGCTGGCAGAAGCCTCCTGAAGGCCCGGAGGCCTGGATGATACAATGTGGGTGCTCTCCTTCAGAGCCAGGGCTCACATGATGTCAGAGAAGTCCTCACATGGATTCTGATGAACACACAGAGGTCCTGCAGGCTGAACTGCAGTGGATGGCAGGGGCCTTAGGAAACTGATCAGAGCAATTGATCATAGCATTGTGTGTGACACTTCCTCTTAGAGGTGGGGTGGTCAGAAACCTTAATGTGCCCAGTTAGATCTTGTGGCTCAGCCAGGTTAGGACATTACTACAGAAATGCTATGATGCCAAACAGGCTGAGAGAGATCCTTGTTTGGTGAGTGTGTATTGTAACATGGCTGGTCCAACCTTAGATCTAGATCCCTAAATGGCCCAGAACCTGTCCCTTTCTAGAGGACAATGACCACTGACTCAGCCACGCATATATTATTGGACAATTCAGAGGCTCTTAAGGACCAGAAATATGGAGGGTGCCACCTAGAGCAATAGTTCCCTGCAATCCGAAACTCACTGCTCACAAGACCCTGAACTTTGTACACACAGTCACATATCTCAGACTAAAGGCGAACTTATGGGCTGACATTATTTAATTCTCACTATAAACCTGCTTTATCATATATGTAACACAATTCTATATCATTGAATGTTTTCAATATGTAAATATATGAGATATGTTTCTTTTATTTCTCATGTTACCACATTACCTTCAATAAAACTATATTCTATGTCATGCCATTCTACCTATACCTATTATTTATGTTTAAATATTTTATTAATTTTGTTCAGCTAGCTACCGTATATATTTAGCAGATAATATGTGGTACATGCTAAAGCTCTATTGCCAAATGCTGTATATACATATACATCATGTATATAATTTACATATATAGCTCTACGTTTATATAGCCACATATGTTTCACGTGGTCATGTACTAAAACTATATGGCAGCATATGAGTATGTTTGTATATGTCTCCAGATAGATAACTATTATATATACATGCATATATACATATATATCAATCATATGTCATACCTCTCAGGAGTCAGATAGGAACCCCCATATATACCTAAATCCTTTGATCCTCAAATCCCTAGTAAGAGATGAGGTAGTTTTTACACAACAACTGTGCACACTCTTCTGCACGTTAGACATCTCCAAGTTCCATGTAATATATAATTCAGTGACATATTTTTAGCTCTCATCTTGTTTTGTTCAGGAAATAATAATGATAACATGGGAAGTCTAATGATCTGTTCTGGTATAATTCCTTTTTCTGAGTGATTTCAGTTATTACTTAATTGAGTCCACATTTCTGGACCCCGCTGATAAACAGGGATGGGTATAGAATGAGGAATCAGGGAACAGGCAGCTGTAAGCTGGAGCCCAGAGTCATAATCACGGACCTCAGTAAAAGTCAAAGCTGTGACTCAAGCTTTGATTGCTCTGATCTCACTCAGGATCTTAGTCCCTACATCCCCTCTCATCTCTTTCCTTGCAAGAAAATGAAGCTGGGGGTAGATGAATGTGACAAAATAGAAACCTTTGAGAGCAAGACCCCTGGAGATATATATAGTTTTCTCTCTTTTTTTTTTGAGAAGGTCTCACTGTACTTCAGGCTGGACTTAACTCACTTTGTAGCCCAGTATGTTCTTGAACTTGTGGCAATCCTCATGCCTCAGCTTCCCAGTGCTGGGATAGATCTAGAGAGTCTGTTAGTGCCATGTAGGAGGTGAGAATGCAGATTTGGAAACATGGACCCTCTTTTGCTCCAGGTGTCCTGCCACTTGGGCTGTGCATTTCATGAGGAGGGCCTCACCTGAGCAAGGCTATTCTGCAGCTGGCATAGAGAGCTCCCACACTGCTGCTCTTGGGCAAGGGTTGGAGCTGTGAGGAAACAGAGGAAATGAGGCAGAATCACTCAAAGAGCAGACAGGGCCTTAGGCACTGCGGAGAGGCACTCGGCAGGGGTTAGGTGTGTGGGCCTGGTGAGAGCTGACGTGGCTTGGGTGAGATGAGTGTGGTGTGGGGTGATGAGGTTGGACTCGCACAGGGCTGAGGGTCATGGCAGGGCCTAAATGATGTGGGCAGGCCCAGAGTGGGTGGCGTGGCTTAGCCCCCAGGAGCAGGGCTCTCATCAGTTTCTGCAGGGATCTCTCAGTGAAGTTAAACTTCTTGGACCCAGGGTGACTCATGTCCTCCTCATACAGCAGGTTGAGGATGGTAAAGTTGATGGTGAATGGCACCAGGAGAGGGATGGCTGCTGCAGTGTGAGTGGGAGAGAGACAAGCACTGAGCCCATGCTGGCTGTGTGAGCCTGAGGCTGGGTCACATCCTGTGTGTAACTTCAGTCACTGGGAGCCTCTTCCTCTAGGATAGACAGGTCCTCCTCAGGCAGGGAGCTCCTCTGTCAGCACTAACCGAACTGCATCGTGGGTAAGTATGAACAATTGCTCTGTAGAGGTAAATACACTGCCAAGCTGAAGGCAAATAGATCTGACCTTCTGGGGAACAAAATTCCCACATTCTCTTTTCTGAAGTTTTAACCCCAATTATTGTTCTCAGATCCACATATAGATGGATTTTTTAAAATTTAAGAAACAAGTAAGTTCCACGTCATTGTTCAGGCTCTGCTGTGACAGATTTAGACCCCTGCCCCCCCCCAAATATTGCATTATATTGGCCTCATTGCTTTAGCAAGCAACCTCAATATCTGTCTCTCCCTCTTCCTCTTGATATCTGCTTTCTATTTCCTGTCCTGTTCCCTTCTCTCCTATGTCCTTTCCTTCTTTTCTTTCCCCTCTTTTCTGAAAACGTTTCTTAGTCTCTCTTCTTTGTCTCCTTTCTTTCTTTTCTGGATCCCCTCAGTATTTCCCTTGGACTCTATATGTCTCTGTCTTTGTTTTTCTGTCCTCTTCTCTCTTCTTCACCTCAACACCTCTCCACTGTCTCTTGGCATCTCTGTGTATCTCTCAATATTTCTCTCCCTCTCCCTCTCTCTCCTCCTGGTCTCTTCTTTCTCCCCCTCTCCTCCCTCTCCCTCCCTCTTCTTTCCATCTGCCATTACTTGCCTGATGGAGGCCAGGCCAAGGGGAAGCTGCCCTCCCTGTATTTTCTCTTGCCTCCCTCTCTGATCTCCTAGACACTTGAACCCTGCAGTGCTGGAGGCCAGGAGTCTGTGGAGGGTTTCTGGGCAGGCCTGGTGCTGGCTATTGCCAAGCAGCCATTACACTCACTAATGCTGATCAAATAGGGCTGCTCAGGGGGCCTGCAGCAGGGCAGAACCCTCCAGATCCTTTCCTGTTGGGAGGCCAAGAAAGCTGGGAGAAAACAAAGTAGTGAGGGCAGAGGCAGTGGGAGGAGGCTCAGAGGGGTGGGAGTTTTTTTAAATTCCCCCTCTTAAACATCACAGGAAAGCAAGAATGTGAGTTGTACAAAGTAGAGGCTGGAAGACAGTGATCTGGCTGTGTGACCAGGCTCTGGCCTCCTGTTGAGCTGCTGAGAACTGAGTCAGCCTGTGCTGGTTTAAACCTGGTTTTCTAGATTCCAGCTCCTCAAGACCAGGCTGCCTCCATTGTATCTGACATTGGACCCCTGAACTTGGGAAGGTGGAGACTGTTGCAGAAGAGCTCCTGGTGGCTGCCCCTTTCTGTGACGGGCTCTCTGGTTTTGGTAAAAGCTTGAAGTGGGCTGTACACTTCCTTTCTCTGCTTGCCATCCATCCAGTAAACTTCTACTATCTAACCTAAACTAGATTCTGTGGTAGAAACCAAGAATTAGATTATTATTACTAGTATAACAGCAACAAAAACAATGACTACTGAAATAATTCCTATTCTGGACCTCCTACTTTACCATATAGAGTCTCTTCTCATTCCCTTATTTTATGGAGGAAGAAACAGAAGGGCAGAGACTCCCCCAAGTCCCTCAGATGGGCTGGGATTTTAATCCATGGTGTCTGGCTCCAATACTTTCCATAACCTTGGGCCTTGTCACCCTCATGCAACATACAGTGGAGTATGGGGGACACACAATTAACAAGCAAGGTAATTTCAGATATTTCAACACTCAACAGATTCTGGATCAGGGTATATTTCTTCCAGTATTTTTTTTTTCTTTAGAACTACTTTATTGTTTCAGAGAAAAATGCATGATACACATCTGCTACACACGTTTGACAGGAAGTGAGCAAAACCATGGTTCACATTTTAATGACTGCCTCTCACTTAGATCTCACAAGGAAAAGGCCATTCTTTATCAGT